TTGAATACTGAAATTAAATGAATTCTATTATTGAATACTGAAACAGAAAATTATGAATGAACTGATAAATTAGAGAAGAAAAGAGCAGAGAGAGAGAGAGAGAGAGAAATGTTGCAAAAGAACACTTTATTTTTTCATATAAAAAAGTTCTTTAAAATAAAATGAAAAGAATCGCTGAATTTCTTTCCTCATTAAACTATAAATTGAAACAGAAAAATTAAGTGAAATAATAGATATAATAAATGAAATTAATATTAGGTGAGCTAATTCCAATATCGACACTTAAATTAATAAAATGAAATATTAAACTATAAATTGAAACAGAAAAATATGAATGGAAATAATAAATATAATAAATGAAATTAATATTAGGTGTGCTAATTTCAGTATTACCGCTTGATTAAATTAATGAAATAAAACATTAAACTAAAAATTGAAACAGAAAAGTTTCAATGGAAATAATAAATGAAAATAATATTAGATGCACTAATTCCAATATTAACAATTAGTAAAAAAAAAAATTAATAAAATATAATTTAAATGTTTTATTTTAAAAAAATTTATAATTTTAACAAATTTGCATAATTTTTGCTTAAAAAGTATTTTTTAGGAAAAAGATTTAAAAAGCAATAAAAACAATAAAATTTGCTATTATTTTTAACAAAAATTTAAAATGTTAATTTTAATTAAATCATTTTGATTATTTAACAAATTAAACTGAAATTTTTTTTTTTTTGACTGTCACAATCATACAATATTTATTTGTACAATGAAATTACAACGGTATTTTCAGGTGAAAAAAAAATAAAAATTGTGCGATAACCTTAAAATTTCATTACACTTTTTGTTTGTCAATCAAATTGTATTTTAAACAATTCCAAAATTGACAGCTACGTTAGAAGCGATGAAGAAAAAGAAATGAAATATGAGAAAATTGAAAAATTAGGAAAAGGATGGGAAAATTTTTCCATTCATTGATTTTGATGAAATTCCATATAATCAATAGGCGTAATGAAATGATTGAATTCATTTCTATTGTTAACCTTTTTCAGGTAAATTTAAATGGCAATTAACTTCACTGAGTAATTTTCAAATGAAACTATTAGTTAACCTTTTTCAGGTAAATTAAATGGCAATTAACTTCACTGAGTAATTTTCAAATGGAACTATTAGTTAACCATTTTCAGGTAAATTAAATGGCAACTAACTTCACTGAGTAATTTTCAAATGGAACTAATACTGCTAACCTTTTTCAGGTAAATTAAATGGCAACTAACTTCACTGAGCAATTTTCAAATGGAACTAATACTGTTAACCATTTTCAGGTAATTTAAATGATAACTAACTTCACTGAGCAATTTTCATAATTTTATTTAATTAACTGAAAATGTTCGTTCCATCAAATTTCCATGATATTTGCGATATTTAAAAAAATAGAAGAAAAGAAAAAGAACTAACCATAATTTGCTCCAATCTTTCATTAGCATAAAGTAGTAGAATTTGTTGAATATTTTTGTATGGAAGATAAATTTTCAATTTTAAAAATTTCGTATAACCTTGAATGATAGCATAGGTTTGATAAAGATGTACATGACAAGCATATCCATATACTTTCAACTTTTTCACAACATTTTCATTTAATACTGAAAAACATTTCATCTTATTATATAATATAATAAAAGGAAAAAGAGTGGATCATATTTTATCAAAAAAATTTTAGAAGAATATTTATATTTAATTTTGAAAATAAAAGTTCTATATATCATCCATTTCATCCTAAAAATACCAGTTTATTCTAACCTATTGATGATAGAATTTCAATTTCATTTTCCATCCCTTTCTATTGCTAACATATATTTGCATCACATTCTATTGCTCACATATTTTTGCAAACCACTTCAAGCTTAATTTATTTTTGCAAACCACTCTAAGCTTAATTCACTTTTGCAAATCACTCTAAGCTTAATTCACTTTTGCAAATCACTCTAAGCTTAATTCACTTTTGCAAATCACTCTAAGCTTAATTCACTTTTGCAAACTACTCTAAGCTTAATTCATTTTAGCAAACCACTCTAAGTCTAATTAAATTTCTCTAAATTGAGAAAAAACAAAGAACAAAATTAGGAACGATCGCAAAAAAAAAAAGAAGAACCGAAATTTGTAAAAATTTCTCATTCTCTTTTTTTACAACGAAAATGATGCAAAAATTATTCCGAAAAAATTTTTTAACTTCGTTCCATTTCGGCCAGGTAAATTAATTAATCATTTGTGATGTTCCAAAAAAGAAAAGAAAAGATGTTCATTTCAAAAATGAATTAACTGAAAAAAATATTTTAATACAATATATCACCAATAGATAGAATAATAAAATTGAAAAAGAAGAAATGGAAGAATTATCAGAGAGTGATAAAATGATAAGCTAAATTAGTTATCATTAAAAATTTACTTTCCATCTTACTTTTACTTAACTTATGAATAGATTGAATATTTATCAGAGAGTGATAAAAATGATAAACAAAATGAAATATCATTAAAAGAATTTACTTTCTATCCTACTTTTACTTAACTTATGAACAGGTTGAATATTAAAATTGAAAAAGATGAAATTGGAAAAAATTATCAGAAAGTGTTAAAATGATAAGCTAAGTGAGATATCACTAAAAGAATTTACTTTCTATCCTACTTTTACTTAACTGTTAAAATTGTTTCTTTCAAAATAAAAAAATATATAATATAAAATAAAATAATATAAATTTGAAAAACTTTTTATATATTTTTTGAAGTTTAATAAAACTATTTTAAATTTATATTTTTGATAGAAAATTACAGAAATATGTAAGAAAGAAAACTTTTAAAAATAAATATTTGAAACATCTGCTTCGCATTATTTTCTTTCTATCTATAAATCAATTTTTGAAATCTTTTATTGATTTAAATTTGTTTAATCGGAAAACTTTTATTGATTTGTCAGTTGAAGAATTTTTAACGATTTAAATTTGTTAATTTAGAAAACTTCGTTAATTAATCACAAAATATCGGAGATTATTTAACTGATTAAATTGAAAAAAAAAAAAAAAAGAAAGGAAAGGAAATGAAGTAATTGAATTTAATAGAAAAATTTCGGCAAAAAATATTCAGCAAAATTCATTTAATTTTTCGTAGGAATTTAATTTAATCGATAAATTGGAAGGTTGTAATTAAAATAGGCAAAAATAGGGATAATTAAATAAAAGGTCAAAGAAAAATGCATATTATAATTGTTGATACTAAAAGCTTTTTTAAAAAATTGAACGATTAATTTCAGTGATAACTGTCACTAATAAAAGCTGGTACTAAAAGTTTTTTTAGAAGTAAAGCAATTATTTGAGTGGTAACTGTCACCAGTAGAAGTTGGTACTAAAAGTTCATTTAGAAATTAAGCAATTATTTGAGTGGTAAATGTCACTAATAAAAGTTGATACCAAAAATTCTTTTAGAAATTAAATAATTATTTAAGTGGTAACTGTTACTAGCAAAAGTTGGTACTAAAAGTTTGTCTAGAAATTAAGCAATTATTTAAATGGCAACTGTCACTAATGAAAGATGAACTAATTACTCCAGCATTTCTTAAATTTCCATTTAGATATAGAAGATAGAACTATTTTAAAAAAAAAATGGCTTATTACTTAATAATAAATAATTTATGAAAAAATTAACTTTTCAAATTTTTAATCCAAAAATTTCTTCAATGCTAGTAATACTTATTAAATTATAAATGGACAATTTTTGAAAGCTCAAATTTAAAAATTGTAACTCAAAGGAAATCAATAAACTAATTTAATAGCAATATTTTCTTCCTTTTAAATTCTTACGGATATGAGAAGTAATTGTTAAAATAAAAAGAAAGAGCTTTATAATTATTAAATTTAAAAACAAATTATACTTCATCCTAAATCATCATTTTTGTTTAAAATTCATTAATTGTAAAAATTAAAAATTAATAATTAATAAGTGTTAAAATTACAAATTAAACATCCTAAATCATCAGAAGTGAATTATTGTAAAAATTACATATTAAATTTTACCCTAAATCGTCATTTTAGTTTATAATTAATAATTGTAATAATCAAAAAATTCATAATTAATAATTGTAAAAATTACAAATCAAACTTTATCCTAAAATCATCATTTTTAGTTTAAAATTAATAATTGTAAAAAGTTATGAAAATAATTTATAATTTATTCACGTATATTCTGTTATTGGTATTTGCAATATGCGAGTAGGCAAAAGCGCCCAAATATATTTCATAGATGCAAGAAAATCATGAAAAAATTATAATCACTATATACCTGAATGATTGTTTTTATGTAAGGTCCACGTGGAATCATTAATACTTCCAATTTTCTTCTTTTCCGATTTTGATAATTTGTAAAGATTATTGGTAGTATCATATTGATCCGATTTCCATCGCTTTGAAAATTTTCCTACCGAGGATTCCTAAATTATTCAAATGTAGATTATTTAATAGCTAAGAAATCATTGGATTCATACGACTTACATCATAATTTTTCTTCGTCATCATGATTTGTCTTCCTAACTGATACAACAATATTGACAAGGAAGTGTTAAATTATCGATTCTAATAATGACCATTATTTAGGAATCATATCAAAATTTACGGTATATTAATCGAAAGATTCCGGAAAATATACTGAAGTCATAAATTAATATATGTATGGATATATATATAACATATATGTATATATATATATCCATAAATATATGGACTGAAAAGATTTCAACGATATTCTTCTTAATAAAACTTAAAACGGCGTATGTTTAACATAATGACGAAATCCTTGCGTAAGATTTTAAAGTAAGTATTACTGCAACTAAAAAATACCGTAGTAAAGAGAGGTGCATAACAAAAAAAGATACTGTAATAACAGAAGACGTTATTTAAATCGATATCTTTGTTTGAAAACATTATTTTCCTTTGCTTTAATACTACATTGAATGTTTATTTAAGAAAGAAATGGTTCCAACGAATTGACGATACCTTTGAGTATACGGTATTTCTACATCCGTTATTTCCGATAACCATTTGATTTATAAATCCCATTCTTCTATTACTTCGTTGTACTCGAATTGGTGTGAACATTGATCCCGCATATTTGCGACATTTTGGGAAAAGTTTCTGATCTTCATAATGAGACCAAGATTGAGATTTTTTCCTTAACTGGGTGATAGAATCATTTAAATTTTCCATTTCATTCTCCGTCTCTATGCTACGCAATGAATAATTTATTTTAGCTGAAATATCAGTAGCAGTAGCAGCAGTAGTAGTAGCAGTATTCGTTGATGTTCTATTTTTCCTAAATAATTTCCGGAAATCTCGAAGAAATGAACGTGCCTTAGGATGGCTGTGTAAATTTGTTAGTGAAGATATTTTTTCAAATGAATTAATTCTGCTTATTTCAGAATCTCCAGCGCTATTTCTTTTTAATATGATATCTTTGCTATCCATAAAGCTATGTGATTTTGGTCGTATTTTCGGCGGTAAATTAGATGATGAAGTATTATTTCCGCCTTCTTCGTATTCAGTATCGTTCATTCGCATTGTTACTTTCGAATTTCAATTACCTAAAATTGAAAAACAGAAATGCAATAAAAAAAATGGATGAAAATATATACTATAAATTATGTCAAATTATATACAATATATACTATATACTATACAATTCAATGAATATTTCAATAATAAATTAAAATTTTTGATCATATTTTCATAAAACAATAATTTCTTTTATTCCTCCGTATTAGTATGAATTCAGGAGAAGAAAAATAATGGAAGATGAAATAAATCGTAATGCACTAAATTTAAATTGTAGAAAAATAAATAACGGCAAGTGAATATAAAAATATAAATGTTAGTTAGAGCATTAGAAATTTAGCTAAAAAGAAATCAACAAATCATGCTTTATCATCTAACATCTAATCAACTAAATTTAATCATTTAATTGACTAAAATAAATAAGTTTAAGTAATAGGTAAGTAAGTTGAATAAGTTTAATAAATAAATAAGTTAAACAAAAATAAAACTAGTAAAAAATAAATAGTTAAATAAATTAAATAAAAATTAAATAAATAAGTTAAGACTAGCTAGACTTAAAATAAGTTAGACTTAAGTTAGATAAGTTTGATAATCGAAAATTGCTAAAAGTTTCCTATTACATTTGATTGATATGAAAATTATTTTTGTAAAGAATAGGGGAAGAAATATTATTCACTTCATCAGAAGTAGAATGAAATTTGAATTTTGGATTTTTTAATTCTTAATAAATAGAAATCGTATGATTCAATTCATTAGCTAATTGAAAAAATATTTTAAGGATAATTTCTAAGAAATTAGAGGAATCAGACGATCGAGTTCTTTTCCATGTTTGATGATCTTTCGCAAAAATTAAACAATTTATTTTTGTCAATAATTTTCACTTTCAATTTACAAGTGATGACAATTAAATGTTCACTCAAATTGTTATTTCCGAATTATCAGGAAAAGCAAAATCAAACAAAAGAAAATAGTAATTATGATTGACCTATTGCCCCCTCATCTTATCCTTCTGATTGATTTGCTTTGCTCTGTTCGCAATACTCAACAATAATTAATAGAAGATTCGTTATTTCGTTGATTGCTTTCATTCTCGACAATTTTCATATATAACATTAAACTTTATTCATACTGAAAAAATAATTTTCATTTATGCTTCGTTTAAAATTTTGAAATTGAAAAATCTTTTAATACAAAAAGATTTTTGTAAATATATAATATGCTAAAATTTAATTTGAAATTCAAGGAAAAGTTTTAATCTGAAATTTTTTTTTTATTTGTAATAATTATCGCAAATGATATCCATCACTAATAACTTATACGCAAAAAATATGATAATTATTAATAATAGTAATAATAATAATAATAATAATAAAACAATGAAAGAAATGGGAAGTAACAATAAGTTTGAAATATAAATTGAAAAAAGATTAATCAAAAAAAAAGTGTTAATAATATTCCTATGAATCATGATAAATTCTTATCACAAGCTATATTAAATTATCACCACTAAATTATCATTTGACATAATTCCTTTAACAAAAATAATATTCAAATTTAATTAATATTAAAATTAAAGGTAAAGAAGAATGAAGGAAAAACAGGAAAATCTTCCAAAAATTTGCACCTTTTAGAAAAATTTTTTATCAGATCCTAACTATACTTTAAATGATAAGAACAATTGAAAATGTAAGAAATAACTATCCTAATTATACTTTAAATGATAAGAACCGTGAGAATTAACTATCCTAACTATACTTGAAATGATAAGAACCATTGAAAACGTGATAATTAACTATCCTAACTATACCTTAAATGATAATAATCGTTGAAAAATGTGAGAAATTTACGGAATTAAATTAAATTAATTGCAACTTTTGTTTTGATAAAAAAGGAAAAAATCAAAATGAAAATTTCAATATATAAATATATGCAAAATGAATGAATAATTTAAAATTGAAAATTAGAATTGAAAAACAAAAGTATTAGAGAAAGTATAAATAAATTTTAATTACAATCAAATATTATCAAATGATTATGTAATTGCTATTATCAAATATTATCAAGTGATTATATAATGATATTATCAAATATTATCAAATGATTATGTAATGCTATTATCAAATATTATCAAATTATGTGATGCTATTATCAAATATTATCAACTGTTTACGTAATGCTAATAGAAGCGTTTTAATTTTAGGATGAAAATCTATGATTAATTTTTAAGAAACATTTCGGTTTCACCGAGAAACGGAACAATGAGGAGAATGGATGGAAAACAGGTATCGTAAAAAGAAAGATGAATTAAACAGAGAGAGAGAGAGAGAGAAAGACGAGAAAATGTGTTATACAAAGGTCATATACCATCTATGGTTATTTCTATTAAATCAATTGCAAAATGAATCGATTCAAGTTGACCTCTCGAAGTTTTAGCATAAAACAATTTACGACATTGTTGATTTCATTCATTCTTTTCATTTACTAAATAATAATAATATCAATGATAATATTAAATATTAATTCAGCAATTTGTACAAAGTGGAAATAGTCTTATTTTATTGGTTTTTGTTAAATGTTGAAAGTTAAAAAGGAAATGATTCAAATTTATGACTTTTTGGAAATGATATTCAGAAATGATAACTTCTGGTTTATCGATTTTTGTTCCCTTCGAATAAGTCGATAATTTTGTTGTAGTAATTGATAAATTATCAATTGAATTATTGTTGCTTCTTTTTTTCTTTTTCAAATATAGGATTACAAAAATTTCATTTTAGGTCAAAAAAATAAATCTTTATTTTCGACACTCTGAACGATGTAACAACTATTTTGAAATTAATAAAATTTTTCTCGAATTGTTGACCTTTGATATTTCTCTTTAATTTTTCTCGAATTGATGACCTTTGATATTTCTGTTTAATTTTTCTCCAATTGATGACCTTTGATATTTCTGTTTAATTTTTTTCGAATTGATGACCTTTGATATTTCTTTAAAATTACATTATTTTATAATTTCATCGTCAAAAATACTGAATTTAATCTTTCATATTTATCTAACTAATCGTAGTAAAGTTAGCAATTTCTTCAATAAAAAATCAACAAAATTGATTAATATGATTAGAAACAAAATGGCCTAAAACAATAATAAAATCCAGTATTCCTGACCTTTTGGCAATATATCTAACAAGAAATGGTGTGAGAAAAAAGGTTACATTAGAATAAATTCATATGATAATGAATGAATGAATGATAAAGAAAATAGCGAAGCATTTGTCGTTATCGTTGAAAAACGTAGAATAAAAGCGAAAGGTAAAAATGAAAGAATTATTGAAATATTTGCTATTTATTGAATTCAATTCAATTTGAACCGATGATTACTCGCTAGTGTATCGATCATAATATATAATGATATAAATAATAAATAACTAATAGTATAAATATATATAAATAACTAATAATAACATAATGATATCCATAATAATAATTAATAATATTCGATTGAATTTGATAATAAATTAAATCCCAGCAGAATCATAATATAATATAAATAAGTAATGACATAATGATACCCATAATAATAATTAGTAATATTCGATTGAATTTGATAATAAATTAAATCCCAGCAGAAATAAGTTGCACTTTCAAATAATCCACTAAAGAATTTTGTCAAAAATAATTATTGAAAAAACCTTTAGAACAATATCCGTATAGGAATGAATTGATAAGCAAATGAATAAGTACGAATAGGAAAGAATAAAATTTTCACACTGTAAAGATATGATAATTTTACATTGAAAAGATATGATGATAATAAGTTTAAAATTTCATAGGAAAATTAAAATTAAATTAGACATATCTGACAAAGAAAGAAATTTACAAATAAATTATTAAACCTAAAATTTCTTTGAAAAATTAAAACTAAATTAGACGTATCTGTCAAATAAACAAATTTACAAATAAATAATTTTCACATTTTCTCTCTTTAATTTTTGCAATTCTTACTGTTCGGCGTGGTTTTCTGCAGTTTGTCAAATTTTTAATTTTGAAAAAATTGAAACATTATGCTTAATAAATGCGGAAAGAAGAAAGAAGTACCATTAGAAACTGTCATCAATTATGTGAAGTTTCGGTTTGTTAAATTTTCAACAAATGATGAAAAGAATTTTTTTAAATAGAATAAAAAAATGAAGTGCAATTAGGAAAAAGATTGAAGGATAAGAAGCGTCGCGAATATAAATAATCATTCGATGTTGAAACTAATTGATTCGGTTACATATGGCAAATTATTTCCATCCTATAAATTCAATCTTAATTTTTCACTTATTAATTCTATTATTGATCAATTAATTATTGTAATAATTTTCGACGAATTTTTATTGCTGCAAAAAAAAAGAATGGAAGAATGGATTGGATGGAAAATATGTATAAAAGGAATTATTCATTAAGTTATATTGTGCGCTGTTAGGAATAGTCACTTAAGAAGATTTAATTATTACGAAAGAGAAGAAAAAAAATTCATCCATCTTAATTTGAGCATTTTGTCAAGCTAGGTTAAAGAAACAAGATTTATTTGGCTGAATTATCATTGATGATAGCTTACGTGATATATGATATGCAATAAGCGCAAATTAGCAATGAAATCACTTCGATGTTTGATGACCCTTCGGTTATTTTTAAGAAAGGTTAAAGTGTAATAAATTGCACTTTAGTTTTTATACTTTCAAAAATTCATGGTCATATGGAGCACATCGAAAAATCCCGTGAATTTCACAGTCGAAATATCAGTAGTAAGGGTATAAAGAAAAAAATCGCAATATCAAGTACCACATCATTTATAAGCTAAAGTAAATTCAACCAAATGGCATTTTTCATGTGCAATTCATTAAATTACATGTGAAAAACTAATTACAATAATTCTGGTATCCGTATCCGACCTCTTTCTTTGCAACTGCACATATTAAATGGGAATTACTGAATTACACGTAAAAAATGCTATTTGGGAATTACCT